GACCTCGTGATCCACCCGCCTCGGCCTCCCAAAGTGCTGGGATTACAAGCGTGAGCCACCGCGCCCAGCTGTTTTTATTTTTTATTGTGCCACTGCATTCCACCTCTGTCACACAGGCTGGAATGCAGCGGCACAATCACAGCTCACCACAGCCTCTACCTCCTGGGTTCAAGTGATCCTCCCACCTCAGCCTCCTGAGTAGCTAGGACTATAGATATACACCACCATGCCACCATGCCCAGCCAATTTTTTATTTTTTGGAGAGATGGGATCTTCCTATGTTGCCCAGGCTGGTCTTGAACTCCTAGACTCAAGCAATCTCCTTGCCTCAGCCTTCCAAAGTGCTGGGATTACAGGTGTAAGCCACCATGCCCAACCCCTTTTACTCAATCAGTCTGACTACGTATCTGTCAAAGATCTGTTTGACTTTACTGTGTACCTAGGGAAAAAATCAGAAGGAATAGTCACCAAACTCTTAATGGTCACCTCTGGGTGGTAGGGGCATATTAGGGCTTTCACTCTCTATATCATACTCTTCTTTGTCTGCAATTTTATAATCAGGGCGAACTAATTTTCTAGGAAAAATATTTGGGGTACAAGGTAGGAAAACCTTTCCTCTAGTCTTACATTAATTGACGCAAGTTCCTACAGAAAAACATATTTCATTATTTATCTTAATTTCATTAATAAAATTTTCTCTTTTATGACATTTAATTTCCATTATCAGCTGGTTTCATCCTCTAAAACTTGTAAGTTTTGGAAATGTTGAATCAACAAAAATTCTAATGCCACTCTAGACACACTCTCAGTTAAATTGTTCAACTATAATAAAGTTCCACCCCGAGGAAATCTGAAATAGCAAGGATTGCAGAGTATGGAAGAAACTGAATCCCAGTCCCTCCCACACCCATTCTGGAATGCATCATATCACCATCACCCAGCATGTACAGAATGCCTGATGTATAAGCACTGTGTGAGGCTCTGGTCCCTTCCACATGGCTTGGAAAAGAGGACACACATCCAACATCACAAGTCAGCTATCGGCTCCCGTAGCAAATGCTACACATGGTACTGGCAATGAGCGCAGAGGAGGAAGAGAAAGGACTTTGAAATTTCTGCTTTAATAGGTCCTTTGCAAGCAGAGGTAGGTCTTCTATATTCCCACAGCTTAGCACAATAAATACTTTTTTTTTTTAAAGTTAATGAGTGCATGGGCCCCACACTTTGAGAGAGAAAGGTACAACATTCTAAGCTGGAAGAATCATGGCAGCAAGAAAGGGCATGATTGGAATGTGCATGTTCAGCTATGGAAAATGTAAAGGAACAGAAGGATAGGAACTTAGAAAACCCAATCTGTTAGAGTTCGGGAGTTGAAATTTTATCTCATAGCCAATGGGAGACTACAGAGGACTTTGATTGGGCAAAGGCAACCTATTTATGTAACTGTCTTCCTTTCTAGGCTCCCTGAGGTTGGCAGCTGGGTCATAAGGACTCTGGATCCCGAGCATATCCTGGAACATGACAGGTATTCAATTAAACGTGAGAGAAAGGAACGAAGGATTGATTAGGCTGGAAAGATTATGCTAGTGCCATAATACTGAAGGTTCTAGAGGAATAAGGAACTAGAAAAAGCCAGAGGTGCTTTCTTTTTTTTTTTAATTTTTTTTATTATTATAAAATAAATTTATTATTATAAAACCCCACCTGGGTTTTGCTATGTTGCCCAGGTGGTCTCAAACTCCTAGCCTCAAGCGATCCTCCAAACTTTGCCTCCCAAAGTGTTAGGATTATAGGTGTAAGCCACCATGCCCAGCCTAAATTATTTACTTAATGCAGATTCTTTGGGTTCCAATGATGAAGATGACATGTTCTGTGTGACAGCAGGATGAACAAGACAGTCCCAGCTTTAGGGAACTAACAGGTGGCTGGGTGAGCAGATTGTCTAGGGCTCATGTGGTTGGCAGCCCAGGTCTCCTGAATCCTAGTTGAGGCCCCTCCCAGCTAGGTGGGACAGTTTCCTCCCAGAAGAGGCCAGAGGTGCTTTCTATCCACCTTTTCTTTTTTTTTAAGGCAGGATCTTGCTTTGTCATCCAAGCTGGAGTGCAGTGACACGATCATGGCTTACTGCAGCTTGACCTCCTGGGCTCAAGTGATCCTTCCACCTCAGCCTCCTGAGTAGCTGGGATCACAGGCACATGCCACCACACCTGGCTAACTTTTTGATTTTTAGTAAAGATGAGGACATTGCCCAGGCTGGCCTTGAACTCCTGGTCTCAAGCAATCCCCTTGCCTTGGCCTTCCAAAGTGCTGGGATTACAGGCATGAGCAATCAAGGCTAAGGCTAGCCTCTATGCACCTCTTGATATATGCAAGACAGTGATTCTCCAAAGACCCCTGCCCTTGTTTCAAGCTGAGTCAACAAAAATCTTCTTACATACTACCATGAAGGTAGTGGGGAAACACTGCCCTAAGCAATAGAAAAGGCTGGGGAGACAGGGTAGTTGTTTATCAACCTATCAACAACTACTTATCTGTCATTCCAGTGCTTTCACAAATCCTTAGAGATCAACAATATTCTGCATCTTATTTGTAATGTATTTCTGGCTAGGGCAATAAGGAGCAGAAGTAACTGGGAGTAACCATGGTGGAAGTAACTGGGAGCATGGTGGGTTTCAGTAAATTTAAGTTCCCTCTTTTCCTTACTAATCCTTCCTTCATAAGCACTTCCTATTTCCTCCAGTCTGATGCTTCCTGCATTATAATCAGTGTTTCTATGGGACTTCATAATTTTCAAAGGCTTTTGCATTCCATCTCATTTAACCTTCATCACCATCTTTATAAACAAGGCATAATATCCCATCCTTGCAGATGAAAAAGCCTAACTCTACAGACTGAATGAATGAAGACAGGGAAAGTGACCCTATTATAGTTACTGGTGTCAGTAATAAATAGTATAGGTAGAAAAAAGCTTCCAGTTTGCTGTCCCTTGTAGACTGTCTCCTAGCTGTTTCACAGCGAAGGCAGAGGGCGCATCATACACTTCTCCATGCCGGCAACAGTAGAAGTAATAATACTTATCAAATGGATGTTTAACCGAAGTTGGGATATAACTATCAGACTTCAAGCTGTCCTCCTACAAAGACCATTAATATAGCAGTCTTCATAAGAAAGATGTCAACTGCAACATTCCCCAATTATTATTTTCTAAAATACATTAGAATGTAAACATAAATTATAAGCACTATTAAATAATCAAAAATGAATTCACTATTTCTAAAAATACTTTACCAGCCTGACCAACCCAGTAAGACCACATCTCTGCAAAAAAATTTAAAAATGAGGCCAGGTACAGTGGCTCAGGCTTGTAATCGCAGCACTTTGGGAGGCTGAGGTGGACGGATCACAAGGTCAGGAGTTTGAGACCAGCTTCGCCAACACAGTGAAACCCCGTCTCTACTAAAAATACAAAAAAAATTAGCTGGACGTAGTGGTGGGTGTCTGTAATCCCAGCTACTTGGGAGGCTGAGGCAGGAGAATCGCTTGAACCTGGGAGGCAGAGGTTGCAGTGGGCTGAGACAGCGCCACTGCACTCCAGCCTGGGTGACAGAGCGAGACTCTATCTCAAAAAAAAATTAGCTGAGCACAGTGGCACATGCCTATAATCCCAGCACTTTGGGAGTCTATGACAGGCGGATTGTTTGAGCCCAGGAGTTTGAGACCGGCTTGGCAACACTGTGAAACCTCATTGCTATAAAAAATAAAAATAAGCTAGCTAGACTGAGGTAGGAGGATTGCTTGAGCCTGTGAGGTCGAGGCTGCAATGAGCTGTGATTGTGCCACTGCACTCCAAGCCAGGTGACCGAGCCAGACCCTGTCTCAGAAAAACAAAAACGAAAAAGAACAAACACCAGAGGCATGTATCCTGCGGTAAATGGCAGGGATGGTGGCGGTGGGCTTAGATGCAGTGGGAACATCTAAGGAAAACCGGGCTCTGCTGCGGCTCTACTCCCAATAAGTTGCCATATCCTCAGGCAAGACACAAAGACGTAGTATAAACAGAAATTTGTTATGTATACTTTAAAAAAAAATTTTTTTAAGATGGAGTCTCGCTCTGTCACCCAAGCTGGAGTGCAGTGGCATGATCTTGGCTCACTGCAACTTCCGCCTCCCGGGTGCAAGCGATTCTCCCACCTCAGCCTCCCCAGTAGCTTGGATTACAGGCATGCGCCACCATGTCCAGCTACTTGATTTTTTTTTTTTTTTGAGACAGAGTCTCACTCTGTTGCCCAGGCTGGAGGGCAGTGGTGCAATCTCGGCTCATTGCAACCTCCACCTCCTGGGTTCAAGCAATTCTCCTGCCTCAGCCTCCCAAATAGCTGGGATTACAGGTGCGTACCACCATGCCCAGCTAGTTTTTGTACTTTTAGTAGAGATGGGGTTTCACCATTTTGGCCAGGCTAGTCTCGAACTCCTGACCTCAAGTGATCCACTCACATCAGCCTCCCAAAGTGCTGGGATTATGAGGCACTGTGCCCAGCCTAATTTTTGTATTTTTAGTAGAGACTGGCTTTCACCATGTTAGCCAGGCTGCCCTCAAATTCCTGACCTCAAGCAATCCACCTGCTTCAGCTTCCCAAAGTGCTGGAATTACAGGCCTGAGCCACAGTACCCGGCCTGTTACCAAATACTTTTATAGCATGGTACTTCACATTGATTAAAGGGCTCTCATACTAACTGTCATTTAATATATACAGCAGCAAAGCAAAAGAGACAGGACAAACACTAGGGTCCCATTTCTGAGGCTGAGTGCAGTAACGGGAAAAATAAGAGTTTTTATGAATAAGACAATCTGAGTTCAAATCCAGGAATCTTGTTCAACTTTTCAGAGCCTTAGTTTCATAGTAAGTAAAATGTAGACAGTACATGCACCTCATAATCTTTTAGAATAAGTCAAAGACTGAGTACTGCCTGTATATAGTACTCAATGTTTCCTTTCATCATTCCACAGGAAGAAGGGCTACAAGTTCACACACCTACTCTGAATTTAAAGCTCCAAGGAGATTATCTTTCAACTCCCATGCTCAACCTCTCCGTGCTCAGATTCAAGAATGTAACTCAGCATCTCTTTAAAAGGTGTTTAAAGGATTGTCACTGAGATGCTCGACTAGAAATTTTTTGTTCAAGTAGATATGTGAAATGATATTCTCCTGAAATCTCACAAAGTATGTATGTGTGTATATATGTATGATACCAAAGGTGTTGAGAAATCATGCAAGAAAGAAATCTATTGAACTCATTCTGATTAGCATTTCCCAAAAGTGCATTTAATGGAATCCTTTTTTACATAATTACCATAAACATCCAGAGACCTTTCTTTTAAACACACTTTTAGGAACAATGGTTTTGATAAATTCATGTCTAACAAATTATAATAGAAAATAGGTTAACAATATTAATAACTAATAATAGATATTATTATAGAACAGGGCACAAGAAATTATCCTTTAAACGAGATCTCTGAATCATTCTTCTGCAGCCTGCACTGAATTTGCACATTGCCTGGCGTCAAACTTGGAAAAAATTATTTAGGCAACTAAGACATTTTTATTTTCAGATCTCAGAATAAGTCTGCCATAGACACAAAGATTCCAAGAAGTGGCTCATAATGTCATCCGGCAGAAGGGACACTTGGGGAAAAAGGTGGGGAAGGAGTATTATGTTTTGTTGCAAAGTTGATTTGTATGCAGTATATTATTCCTCAAATCTACCTTCAAAAATGGTAGAATCTAATGCCACATCACTACCTCTCCTGTCCTTACCCCTGGTCTCCTGATGACAGTAGAAAGCAAGAGAGAGCCAGAATGGAACAAGTGAGCTGTTAACTATAAACTACAAAAACGAGGACTCCTTTTATCTCTGAAAACCAACAAAGTGGTTACTCTGTCACCAAAAAAAAAAAAAAAAAAAGGAAATTAATGAAAATGAAATCATCAGTATTTGTCCTGAAATTTTCTGCAGAGGTCTCTGGTGTGATTAAAAATGTGGGCAAGGCCAGGCGCGGTGGGGAAGGCCAGGTGTGGTGGCTCACTCCTGTAATCCCAGGAGTTTGGGAGGTCAAAAAGGGTGGATCACCTAAGGTCAGACCAGCCTGGTCAACATGGCAAAACCCTGTCTCTACTACAAATACAAAAATCAGCGCAGGCTGAGGCACCAGAATCCCCAGAACCAGGAGGCGGAGGTTGCGCCACTGTACTTCAGCCTGGGAGACAGAACAAGACTCTGTCTCAAACAAAACAAAATCAAAGGTGGAGAAAAGGCCCCGTGCAGTGGCTGACACCTGTAATCCCAGCACTTTGGGAGGCTGAGGTGGGTGGATCGTGTGAGGTCAAAAGTTCAAGACCAGCCTGGTGAAACTCTCTTTCTACTAAAAATACAAAAAATTAGCCAGGAGTGGTGGCACATGCCTGTAATCCCAGCTACTCAAGAGGATGAGATATAAGCATCACTTGAACCTGGGAGGCAGAAGTTGCAGTGAGGTCACCCACTGCATTCCAGCCTGGGCAACAGAGCAAGACTCTGCCTCAAAAAAAAAAAAAAAAAAAAAAGTGGAGAAAATGCTAAACTCAATTTCTTCTGAACCTATGCTAAGATGTCAAGGTAGTATGATTGTTCCAGTAAAGCTTTAAGTGGTTGTTATGTTTGGAGTCCTAAGAGTGTACATGGATTTTATGTTATAACCTACATCAAGAAACTCATTCAGACCAGGCACCTTGGCTCATGCCTGTAATCCCAGCACTTTGGGAGGCCAAGATGGGCAGATCACTTGAGCCCAGGAATTCCAGACCAGCCTGAGAAACATGGTGAAGCCCTGTTTCTATTAAAAATACAAAAATTAGACAGGCATGGTGGCTCATCCTTCAGTCCCAGCTACTCCAGAGGCTGAGGCAGGAGGATGCCTTTAGCCCAGGGGAGTTGAGGCTATAGTGAGCTGTGATTGCACCACTGCACTGCACTGCACTGCACTGCAGCCAGGCAAAAGAGTGAGACTGTCTCAAAAAACAAACAAAAAAATCACACGTAATTTTTTTTTTTAATGAAAACTAAAATAGAATTTAAAACCCAAGGTGCTCAGTTTCCTGGAAGACGGATGTTTCCTACTTTGTAATATACTTTGTATATCTCGACTATTACTGTGTATGCAAGCACCTCTAAGAAGTACTTGTATCTGCAATGAATTCTCAAACCTCAGGGAGCCAAATAAAAAGGCCAGGCCCAAGGAATTCTTTCAAAAATTAAACTAACGTTTCATATTTACTTATTCTAACAGGCAAAAAATAAAGAAGTAATCTGCTATAACACAAAGTTGTAAGCATAGGTACAGACAAGTGCTGGTTCACAGTGACATTCTATAAGGAATGCTCTGGATAAGAGCTTCAGGCTTGTAAGGTTTTCTGAGGAAAGTGAACGGAATCTAGACGTGTCCTACAGCTCAAAAAATCAATGCTGTGGACCACAGAGCCTGATAGAGTAAAATAACACAGTGTGCAGTTCGGCCACTAACAGCAAGAGTGGGAAGGGTCGAAAAGGAACCTCGATCGCCCGACACTAGGGCCATCTGAAGAGTCATCTTAACACTTCGTCTTTCCATTTTAAGATCGGAAGCTTCAAGCCGCCGCCACGCCAGGCCCGAAGGACAAGAAAGGCTGCGCTCACCTGCAGAAGCGATCGGGTGCTCACCTGCCGGGCCACGAGGCCTGCATCATCACACCCCGCCCGGGTTGACCTGCTCCTCGGCGATTTTTAGCGTCATCTTCCATCCCTTCCCACCCATCTGGATCCAACCAAGAGCAAGGGCGGAGGAGGGAGAAGCTAGTGCCGCAAGGAAAAGCATTCCCGCAAGCCGCCGCAGGCTTTCTCTCCTTCCTCCCGATTCCACGGAAGAGGCAAAGCCACGCCGCCTCTCCTAACCCTCGTCTCTAATGCAAGGCCTGCAATACTTAGGAAAAAATGACTGTTTTTAAGTAAAAGTAACATCCCTGCTCACTTCCGCCCCTCACCTTCACGAAAGCAATCGGGGTTGTGGTACCTTCGATATCTAACAGGATCACGGTGACTTCGGCGGGCACCGAAAGCACGACCATTTCCCTTCCGGATGCTACTACCGGACTCGGCCTACTGCTGGGGAGGGCGGAGGGTGGCGGCGCCCGCTGCGGCTGCGGCCCCCGGTACCGTCCTGGGCTTCTGATGGCCCAGCTCGATCTCGGAGCCAGCGACCAAGTGCAGCCTGCCACGCGTAGGGAGAGGACACCTCTGCACACCTGGAACTGGAACTGGAAAAGGCAGCCGCCCAGGTGCCCTGAACTCGTGAGCAGTACTGGGAAAAAGCCCGAGACCACGTGGGCAGAAAAAGGGGCGGCCCTCGCTGGGTTCGGCGGGGCTAGGAGGGTGAAGGCGCCAGCGCCGATTGGCCGTCTGTCCTCAAACGCGATCCGTCAAAATGGGCCTCGCGTGGGCGGGAACAAAGAAGCGAACGCGGGAGCTGGGTACGCGAGCGCGCGCCTTCCGCAGACTGGTTGAGCGAGCTGGAGAGGCTCGGGGCACGTGCAGACTGGAGCCACGCGAGTGGCGCGCCGGGGATGTGAGTGCCCCTTGCCTTCTACTGCTCCCAGCCCCCTCCCCGCCCACCTCCTCCTACTTTGCATAGATACAGTCATCTGGCCAGCCCCCGCCCCTCCTCCCGGCGTCAGCCCGCCAGAGAGGTCCCGCTGGGCCCCGGCTTTGGTCGATCTACTGGGGAGGCCCGCCGCGCCCCCTCGGCCCGCGCGCCCGGGGCCACAGCGGAAGAGGCGCCCGCGCAAAGCTACCCGGAGGGGCCGTCGCGCGCCCGCTTCCTGTTCGGCTGGTTCCAGCCAGCTCGGGAACAAAACACGCGTGCGCGCGGCGGGCGAGCGCGCTCGCAGCCTCAGCCCCCAGCGCCAGGCGCAATCCGCCTTTTTCCGGAGCAGCCCGGCCGCGGTGCTAGCCGGTAGCAGCGGCCGCCGTAGCGGCTCCGCACTAGCGAACCGAGGGCAGAAAAAGGCGGGGTTGACGGCTCTTTGGTAGGAGTAGGCTGGACCGGACGCCAGAGACAAAGGCTCCCAAGGCAAGAGGGACGGTGGCCCTGCGTCGGCGTTGCTCGGGACTGCTGACCCCAGGACTTTACGCCCCTTCGTTTCTCTTCTGATTCTTCTCTCATCCCAAGCCTGCGTCCTCTCACGCGTGGCCTCGCTCCTCGCCGGGAGGGCCGCGATGGAGGTCCCGCCCCGGCTTTCCCATGTGCCGCCGCCATTGTTCCCCTCCGCTCCCGCTACTTTAGCCTCCCGCAACCTCTCCCATTGGCGGCCGCGGGCGCCGCGGCAGCTCGCCCCGCTCCTCCCTTCGCTCGCTGCCAGCTCCGCCCGGCAGGCGGCGCGCCGGGCCCAGCGCCACGTCACCGCCCAGCAGCCCTCCCGATTGGCGGGCGGGGCGGCTATAAAGGGAGGGCGCAGGCGGCGCCCGGATCTCTTCCGCCGCCATTTTAAATCCAGCTCCATACAACGCTCCGCCGCCGCTGCTGCCGCGACCCGGACTGCGCGCCAGCACCCCCCTGCCGACAGCTCCGCCACTATGGAGGACATGAACGAGTACAGCAACATAGAGGAATTCGCAGAGGGATCCAAGATAAATGCGAGCAAAAATCAGCAGGATGACGGGTACCGCACGCTTCTTCCCCCACTCTCCCTACCCCAGCGCGCCGCACCCGCCCTTCGTCCCTCGGGAGCCTCGCGCCGCCCCCATTCTTTCTCGGAGTCGATTCTCCGCGTGCCCGCTGGGCCCCACTAGCTTGGAGGGAAGAGGAAAGTAAGAGATCTAGGGGGGACTGGAGAGGCCCGGGAAGAGTGGGGGAAGGGCGGAGGGGTTGGAGGAGGGCGGCGGCGTCTGTGTCCCGAGTGCGCAGGCGCCGCGTGGGCCCCAGGGGGGAGGGGCCGGCCTCTCTGCGCCGCACGCTGCAGCTGCCGCCGCCTCTTCATTGTGTCTCTGTTAACACTCGGCGCGGTTTTCCTGGGAAGAGTTTAGAGGACTCTTGAGTTCGGGCACAAGTAGGCGACTGGTACCCAGATTCCCAGAACGTGTTATGATTGATGAGTTCTCTTGGTGGAACGTTGGCTTGACAGCTGAGGACGAGGGTGGACCTAAGATGTGAGGAATTCGTCCTGGAAGTTGGGCCTTCTACTTAAAGGAATCTGAGCAGAACCTTTACCAAATTTTATTGGTCTCTTTTGAGCTTTGCTTTATACCGTGCAGAGAGCGATCTGTCCGCTGGTTTGAGTAACTCGGTTGGGATATTGGGATGTTTGTGGTCTGTTTACTTGTGTGACATAGGTTTAATGTAAACAGATTAAGTTGCTAAAACGGGATAAATGTCCCTGTTTTCACGATTTAATTAATTCCAGAACTGAAGTAGTCACTTGAGTTATTGCTAAATTTTTTTTAAAAAAACTTTTATTTCTAGTAAAATGTTTATTGGAGGCTTGAGCTGGGATACAAGCAAAAAAGATCTGACTGAATATTTGTCTCGATTTGGGGAAGTTGTAGACTGCACAATTAAAACAGATCCAGTCACTGGGAGATCAAGAGGATTTGGATTTGTGCTTTTCAAAGATGCTGCTAGTGTTGATAAGGTAGGAACTGTTTTGCATTGTGCTGCTTTTGTGGTATTTTGAAAATTTTTCTGGGGGTTATATGCTGCCGTCAGATTAAATAAATCTGTCTTGTAGGTTTTGGAACTGAAAGAACACAAACTGGATGGTAAATTGATAGATCCCAAAAGGGCCAAAGCTTTAAAAGGGAAGGAACCTCCCAAAAAGGTCTTTGTGGGTGGATTGAGCCCGGATACTTCTGAAGAACAAATTAAAGAATATTTTGGAGCCTTTGGAGAGGTGTGTGATTACGTTTGCACATGTTAAGCTTAATGTGTTTATAAAATGTTCATTCCTGGTCTGTTTCATATAGGGCAGATTCATGTTTCATGTGAGAGTAGGATTAAATGACTGCTCAAGTCGCTTCCAGACTGTACCTTGATGTGCTGCTCTCATGGAAGTCCAACTATCTAAGTAATTTAGTCAAAACGTGGGTACTTAAATGTGGTCAGTGTTTGGACTGGTTAACTAGTGGCATCTTTGGGGTACAAAATAATGCCAAAGGATGTTTTACCTTTCAGCTTCAAATGTCCAACAAACCACTGTAGGTTGATGTTGATCATAAAGCAGTGCTGTCTATATAGAGGTCATAAAATGTTTAAGTCGAAGCTTGAAAAGGATCTGTGGCATTCGGACATTCTGGTAGCATTTTACAATTATGGAATGACCTTGAGTGTGCATCTCGGTTTCAGATTGAAAACATTGAACTTCCCATGGATACAAAAACAAATGAAAGAAGAGGATTTTGTTTTATCACATATACCGATGAAGAGCCAGTAAAGAAATTGTTAGAAAGCAGATACCATCAAATTGGTTCTGGGAAGGTAAAGCCATTTAAGTACTTTAAATGAAAATTTTAGGGGGTGGCTGTGTGTATGAGAGAGAATTTCTCAGTGTGTTTGAGAATAACAATTTAACTTTTTAGAACTTCAGTAAAAAATTATATTTTTATGGTTTTTAATTTGTGTATAGTGTGAAATCAAAGTTGCACAACCCAAAGAGGTATATAGGCAGCAACAGCAACAACAAAAAGGTGGAAGAGGTGCTGCAGCTGGTGGACGAGGTGGTACGAGGGGTCGTGGCCGAGGTGAGAGTTAATTCTTGAAATATGACTCCATGGTTTATTTAAGCTGTATACTGCTAAATATGAGTAATCCTGTAAGAAAGTAAAACTTTAAACTTAAAACCATTCCAGCAGGGTGGAAATGTTCAGCTTAGTGGGGGTTGTGAGTGGTGGTTTTTTCTTGTGAGCTCACTGGTTTCAAAAAACTTAAAAGTATGGCCACTTTGACAATTAGTGTCATCACTGATAGGAAAAGTGTACCATTACATGATACACCATGGCATGATAGGTTTTCTTGGGCAGGAGTCCTTGTTTTAAACAGAACAGTGTACCTGTCTTTAGCTTTAATGGAAAATTTAATGATTTGCCATTAAATTTAGGAAGCTTGATACTGGCACAATTGGACTTTCTGCCCCCTTTTTTATAACAGTTGGAAAAATTCTTTTTCAAGCAGATGGCAATATATGTGTCCATTCTGCCCTTTAAGATTTGCAGAGTGAGGGACAAGAACGCATCATTTTATGTTAGAATTGGGGGTCAGAAGTTGTTTCCTAACAATCATTGTGCATTGTTTCAGGTCAGGGCCAAAACTGGAACCAAGGATTTAATAACTATTATGATCAAGGATATGGAAATTACAATAGTGCCTATGGTGGTGATCAAAACTATAGTGGCTATGGCGGATATGATTATACTGGGTATAACTATGGGAACTATGGATATGGACAGGGATATGCAGACTACAGTGGTAAGAATATTTAACTTAATTTTATAAACCAATGGCATTAAAATTCAGTGTTAACATACAATCCCATTCTGAAATTGTGTGTATGGGCTTTCCATTAATGTGTTTGGAGTTAAGGATTTGAATCATGTTACAATCATAGTGATTGTACTAACAGTGTGGTCCTTATAAATGTACTAGGATGTATGACTTATGACTAGGTTATAATGGGTACTAAAATATATTTTAATATTTTTATTTAGCATGCAAAGATTTTAATAGTTTCTTAATGCGTTTGTAAAGCAACAATTTTGTAGAAAACTACCTTAATGAAATTTGTCTTCTCAAAATAGGCCAACAGAGCACTTATGGCAAGGCATCTCGAGGGGGTGGCAATCACCAAAACAATTACCAGCCATACTAAAGGAGAACATTGGAGAAAACAGGTGTGTATAAGAGTACAGGAAAACAGTAGAAATGTCTAATTTAATTTAAAGATCAATAGACAAATGAAACGTAAAAACAAAATATAATGTAGCCTGTTTTTACTAAATTGTTGATTTTTGTAATTGCTTTATGAGCCTGTTTTGCCTAAAGTGTCTATAGATCTTTAACTTTAAAGTCTTATCTCACTTTCTTTAGTATTGCAGAAAAACTTAAGAGTTTTTCTGTTTGCTTTTGTGTACCAGGTGGTCTAGAGGAATAATTAAACATTTTAGAACTATTAACAGGTAAAGTACTGAAATGGGTACAACTTAAGGAAAACAAGAATGTTGTCTTCTAACTCTGACATTATACCTTGTTTGTACCCGCCAGCGGGAACTTCATTGCAGGCCGTGTGTCACCCTGACCACGTCTATCTCTGGGGGTCGCACGTTGCGGGCAGAGCGCAAGGCATACACCAGAAAACGCTGTCCTGTGGTATGGTCTCTTCCAACTTCATGTACCAGCGTAAAGATTAAAGTGGAAAACTTCAGACTTTGGCTTCTTTTTTAATCTTTTTGGAGATTAAGTGTCTAAACTTAACTTAAATGGTTTTTTACAGGAGTTAAAGTACATAAATGCCTTTTTACAGCTTAATCATTTTGGTCTTCTGTTTAGTGTTGTATTTCAATTGTGGAGCCTCATTTTAAGTGTTCATTCTTTTAAGATTTAATGCTTGCTTTTTCTTTTTATAGCTAATAGTGAAATCTACAAACCAAAACAAGAACTTTTAAATCTGGGATATAAATTAAAGATCATATGCACAAATCAATTTATGTTCTTGTAATAAGCTTATTAGAAATTGGTGTTATAATGGCATTTTGCTTGGGTTACTAGAGGTGCTTCTAGTAGACCTTAACCTAGCATAGTTGAACATTTGAATATGGGAAGATTGTATTCCCAGATTCTTAACTTTAATAGATTTGAAGTTAATATCATTTGGGAACTCCAGGGTGAGTTTATTAACTACCCAGACTGTATTTTGCTAATAAATATGCATATGATCTTTAATTATTGAAGAAAAGAATAAAGTGAGGACTTAAAACAATTCATGAAAGTGGACCTTTAAAAGCTTGTCAGAGTTGCACAAATCTAATTGTTATTTTGTTTTTGTTTTTAGGAGGCGTTGTTAAAGTAACCCATCTTGCAGGACGACATTGAAGATTGGTCTTCTGTTGATCTAAGATGATTATTTTGTAAAAGACTTTCTAGTGTACAAGACACAATTGTGTCCAACTGTATATAGCTGCCAATTAGTTTTCTTTGTTTTTACTTTGTCCTTTGCTATTTGTGTTATGACTCAATGTGGATTTGTTTATACACATTTTATTTGTATGATTTCATGTTAAACTTCAAATAAATGCTTCCTTATGTGATTGCTTTTCTGTGTCAGGTACTACATAGCTCTGTAAAAATGTAATTTAAAATAAGCAATAATTAAGGCACAGTTGATTTTGTAGGGAGTATTGGTCCTTAGGGAGAAACTGTGGTCCTTTATTAATAGCCAACATCTTTCTCTTCCCCAGTTTGTAGAGGCATTCTATGATCTTAAGCCTTCATCTTCTCCCTGGTAAATGAGGTTTCTACCACACCTTTGAATAATGTTCTTTCCCCTCTGGTTATCTGAAGACTGTCCTGAGAGGAAGACATAAGTGTTGTGATTAGGAGAAGCTTTCTAGTAGACCATGTTTCTTCTGGATTGTAATAAAACTGTTGGTGGCTCCTTTTGCTTTGTTCCTGTCTCTGGAAAGCCATTTTTGAGTTGCTAATTACTTTGGTTTTAATCAGTGGTCACCTAGAAAAAGCTTTGTAATCATAACACCATGACTTTATTTCTTGATAAAAACACATGCACACAGGAAGGAGCACTGTAAAACTAGTAGGAGCTATGATTTAAGACCATTGGAAGTAGTGAGTAGTTACAACTCAAGGATTTTGGCAGAAAAATGTGACTGGGCAAAAGTTAGATTCAAATTTGAAATAGTGGCAAAATTTAATTGTTTTCTGTTTGGGCATTCTGAGGAAGTTGTATTACAGTTAACTGTTAATGCTTTGTGAGTTTAGAAGTCATGATAGTAAATCTAATTTTTAACAGTGCATGAATAAACATTTCCATATTCAGAAATAGAAATAGTGGGAAAAGTATCTTAGATGTGTCAGTCCAAATGTCACTGAGTCATTACAGTGGACCCTCCTGGTGCATTGAGAAGAAACATATCCAGGTTTCAGAGGACCTGGATAAATGCTTTGAATTTTGCATTCAGTGTAGTTTCTTGGATTTGGGGACCTTTGCCTCAATGTTAGCTACTGGGATTGGCATACATGTTCACAGGCAGAGTAGTTGATCTCACACAATGGGTGACCTCAACTGGTGTATAAGTTTCTTATGCTGGTCAGCCCCCCCCCCCCCCCCCCCCGTTTTTAATTTGGTGCCTACAACTTTGATACAATGATTGTACTTGCTGGGCTATCAAGTTATGTTCTTGGTCCTTTTTTGCTGCTGTTTTGCTATTTGTCTTGACACCTACCAAGTACCAGTGTTAGCTGTTGGAAGGGATTCTGTTCATTCAACATGCAACTTTAGGGAATGGAAGGAAGTTCACTTTTAAGTTGTCGTATTAGTAGGTGCAGTGTCTACAGGTAGTGAATCCTGTAAGTTCAAATTTATGATTAGGTGACAAGTTGACATTGAGATTGTCCTTTTCCCTGATCAAAAAATAAAGGCTTTTTAAACAAAATCCAAACTTTTAATCAAGTCTTGATATGTATGAGTGAGAAAACATCTCGAGGTGATTGAGATGTTTTTACAAAGAATTGGAAGCGGGGTGAGAATGCACTTAGTTTTTCTTGCAGGGACTTTGAACTCTAGGTTTAATTCAGTTTTTAGGGACAATCAGTTCAACTGATGAAAATTTGAAATAGACACTATAAAGGCTATAAGTATTCTAGGCACTTCTGATTGGATGGAACTGTGAAGCTAGTATCAAGATCTCATTCCTAAGAATGTAGAATTAAGTAATTGGACAAGTTTATAGGGGAAAAGGGATAGAAATGAATTCTGTACCTATAACACTCGGTTTGTATGTTTTTATACATCTTATTTGCCTTTTGCATTGTTTAGACCAAATTTTGTGTGTTTTCCTTGGGGAGGGTGGATAGAAATGAATTCTAAAGTACCTATAACAAATCAGTTTGAATATGATTTTATACAACATACTTGCTTTTTGCATTGTTTAGACCCAAATTCTTTGTGATGTTTTCCTGACAAAAGGCCTTAGTGTTTCCATTGGTTGACGTATTAATCTGTAATCTGAGCCACTTTTATAAGATGAGGACTATTAAAATGAGATGTCTGTTGGGATGCTAGCATGGATAAGCAGAGCTTATTCCATTACTCTTCAGTGTATCTATTTTCATAATGGCAGAGATCCTTAGTAATCTTCACAAAATTTAATACAAGGGCATATCTGAACAATTCAGCCACCTTCCATTACCAAGATTTGATTTAATGTCAATCAGGATGCCATGCTGCGTGCTATAGCTTATGCCTGTAATCCCTGCACTTTGGGAGGCCAAGGCAAGTGGATTACTTGAGCATAGCCTGGACAACATGGCAAAACCCTGTCTACAAAAAATACAAAAATTAGCTCAACGTTGTGGTGCATGCCTGTAGTCCCAGCTACTTGGGCTGAGGCAGGATAATTGCTAGTGCCAGGGAGGTGAAGGGTGCAATGAGCCATGTTCATGCCCCTACACTACACCCTGGGAAACAAAGTGAGACTCAAAAAATCACAGGACACAACACCAATTAAAAAGTTGACTAAGCTGGCCAAGCGCAGTGGCTCATGCGTGTAATCCTAGCACTTTGGGAGGCTGGGGCAGGTGGATGGCTTGAGTCCAGGGGTTGAAGACCAACCTGGCCAATATGGCAAAACCCCAACTCTACTAAAAATACAAAAATTAGCTGGGCGTGGTGTTATGTTGAGGTGGGAGGATCACTGGAGTCTGGGAGATGGAGGTTGCAGTGAGCTCTGCACTCCAGCCTGGGCAAAAAAGTGACAACTCAAAAAAAAAGGTTGACTAAGGCCAGGTGTGTTCAGCTGCAGTTGAGCTATGATTACTGCATTGCAGAGACAGAGTGAGATCCTGTGTTATGGATGTCTGTGTATACCATTTGAATTGATTCAGTGTTGAGTAGTTAGAAAATGTCATTCTAGAAGAAGCCCCACTTTCCTTTCATCCTAATTGGAGTTGGTATCTAATGTTTGTTTTCAACTTTTAAGCAAAAACAATGCAAATTCTATATCTTTTTAAATAGTCACTAGAAAATATTGCTTATAAAAATAAAGGCTGTTCTTTTAGGATTGGTTGAGGTCTTACATTCGCCTTGAAATAGGTTCAATGTGGAATTTCAGCAAGATTTAGTTAATAGGAAAAAATTAAAATACAACCTTTGACTTTACTACTTTTTATAAAACAGTAGGAAAGGATATAGTGATGTTCTGGGTTTTACAGAGTAATGCTGAACATTCTGAAGAGCTTTACTCCTGCTGCTCCTTTTTTTCCCCCACCCCTCAACAAGAGTGAGCTTGGAATTGTGCTATTCTTTTTCTCCCCCTGAGATGGAGTTTTGCTCTTGTTGCCCAGGCTGGAGTGCAGTTGTGCAATCTCGGCTCACCAAAACCTTCGTCTCCTGGGTTCAAGCAATTCTGTCTCAGCCTCCTGAGTAGCTGGGATTACAGGAGTCTGCCACCATGCCTGGCTAATTTTTGTATTTTTAGTAGAGATGGGGTTTCGCCACATCAGTCAGACTGGTCTCAAACTCCTGACCTCGGGTGATCCACCAGCCTCAGCCTCCCAAAGTCCTGGGATTACAGGCATGAGTTGATCCTCTCCACCAGAATTGTGCTATTCCTAAGTGTCAGTTTAATCTCTGGTGTTACCCTTCTGTCAGTACTCAAAGAGATGTACCCATTTGGGGAGTTGTATCGTAAACTTGGAGGGTAGTGGGGCTAAAGTGTAGTTTGAAAAAGTATATTCGGCCGGACACGGTGGCTCATGCCTGTAATCCCAGAATTTTGGGGAGGCTGAGGCGGGTGGATCACCTGAGGTCAAGAGTTCGAGATCAGCCTGGGAAACATGGTGAAACCCCGTCTCTACTAAAAATACAAAAATTAGTCAGGCATGGTGGCAGGCGACCATAATCCCAGCTACTTGGGAGGCTTAGGCAGGAGAATCACTTGAACCCAGGAGGCAGAGGTTGCAGTGAGCTGAGATAGTGCCACTGAACTCTCCAGCCGGAGCCACAGAGTGAGACTCTGTCTCAGAAAAAAAAAAAGAAAAAAGCATATTCAACATAGTCTTGTCACTTAAAATCCAAATAACCAAAAAGGCTGATTTTGATTTCTCAAAGACCAGCACAAGCTAGAAAATTCTAGAAACTTTACATGCAGGCAAGTTTTTCTCATACTGTTCCAATGGTATTCTCCTTTTGGGAATCTGACCAAAAGTGAATTCTCTTCAGACCCAAAAATTGCATGTCTGTAAATACTTTCAGTGTAGTTTCAGGAAAATTAGAAAATTAGAAAACTATCTGTTTTAAAAGGCTCTTGTAGTTGTTGGCTTTTATGGTAACAAACTGACTAAAATTGATTGAATTTGTTGTAATTGATGAGGTTTCACAAAGGGAGTTTCTTCACATGTTCTCCACCTACCACCTTCGTATTTGTCTTGGCTGGTGAACACTCATAGAAGATAGTTTTATTGATGACAGGGTCTCACTCTGTCACCCAGGCTGGAGTGCAGTGGTGCCATCATGGCTTACTACAGCCTCAACCTCCTGGGCTCAACCAACCCTCCCACCTCAGCCTCCCAAGTAGCTGGGGCCACAAGCACACGCTTCCATACCTAGCTAACTTTTTTGATTTTTAGTAAAGATGAGGTCTTGCTATATTGCCCAAGCTAAAGGTTATTTATTTATTTATTTGTCTTAGAGACGGGGTCTTACTATGTTGCCTAGGCTGGTCTTAAACCCCTCGGGCTCCAGTGATCTTCCCGCTTACGCCCCCCAAAGGACCGAGATTACCAGCATGAGTCACTATGCCCAGCTTTAATCCCCTAATTTTAAATTGGGGAAGTCAGCTAATTGAATGCACCAACGCTGATTACATTCTGGAGTCTATTAAACTATAAAACTCCAATCAGGCATACTTGAGGCTTTAAACATTAACATTGATCAGTAATCTTTAATACACTTGGTTTCTCAGTGTTGAGATCTATTGTAGCAAAGTAAGATTGTATTACAATTGATCCATTCTTGTTCCTCTAAAGGAATTTGAGCCTGGATAATCTGGAGCAACTGCTCTTCCCATGAAAG